AGTATTTTCTTCCCTGAAATATTACAGGTATCTAAAAGAGTCTGATGTCATTTGAGTAGCATATGCAGGAATGGGGTTTATCAGCTGTCTGCTGTTAGGAAACGTGTCTACAGCTAGAAGTCACAAAGATGCAACAAGAGCCAGTATGGTCTAGTGGTTAAGGCATCAGGCTAGAAACCAGGTCACTGTGGGTTGTAGTCCCACCTTAGGCATGAAAGCTAACTGGGTGACTTTGGGCCAATCACAAGGAGAATAGGATTCTAGTCCCACCAGAAGAACTGTTGCATGAACTGGGCCTGGCTAGTCTAGTGAAGAGAAGGACCAGGGAAGACATGATAGCAGTCTTCCAATATTTGAGGGGCTGCCACAGAGAGGAAGGGGTCAAGCTATTCTCCAAGACACCCGAAGGCCAGACAAGGAATAATGGATGGAAACTGAGAAAGGAGAGATTTAACCTAGAAATAAGGAGAAACTTTCTGACAGGATAGCAATCAACCAATGGAGCAGTTTGCCTTTGGAGGTTGTGGGAGCTTCATCACTGGAGGCTTTCAAGAAGAGATTGGACTGCCATTTGTCAGAAATGGAGTAAGGTCTCCTGCTTGGGTGGGGGGTTGGACTAGATGATCTACAATGTCCCTTCCAACTCTTATTAATCTATAATTTACGGCAGCGATCCTGCAATCTCCAAAACTTGAAATCTAGAATTTCTGAATGTGGAACATAAAGTTGAGATTAGGTTGTAGCTAAAGCAAACTTTTCCCCGTATTGAGTTTCAGCTAATTTGATGCCTAGACAGGTTTTTTTTTATTTCATCTTTCTCCTTTATCGGTCCTCTGAATTATGAGACTTTTTTTTTTTAATGAGCTGAGCTGGCACGTTCAGCTCCTGGCTGGCTCTCTACCTAATGATCTGTGGCACCATGGAGTTGGTTCCATTTGAAAAACTATTGAATCAACAAGCTATAAATTGCACATAGAAGGTAATTTTCAGCTTCAGATACAAGGGCTAGACATTTATAGCAGCTGCAAAAATGGTTCCTCGGTATCCCCCCCCCTCCAAAGTATATGTGCATGGGAAGAAATGTGCCGCTTCAGTCTGTGCAAGGAAATAATCATATGCTAAAGCTTTCATGTGCAGATTTGCTTTTTTGATCTTCTCTTGTGCTGTTGTGCCTGGAACACTTCCTTGTCTCTAGAAAGCAACCAGACTGGACCGTTGTTGCAATTACATCATCACTAGTTGCCAGAATCCAGAGGCTGAAGCTAGCAAGAGGTTTAATTGTTAAAAAAAATTAATCATGCTTTCTTTGTATAACTGTTCAGAATTGGGATTGTTGTGGTTCGCTGGCAGCAGTTTGCAATGGCTGAGGTCTTGGAGAGCGAGGACTCAGATGAGGGGCCTGTGTGTGATGCAGGGATGGGGCCAGGACCATCAGGGAGTGAAGTGCTGCCTTCGGAGATTGTGGAGGCTGGCAGCAGTGATGAAGAGGTTCCCAAGGAGTCTGTGCCCAGTGTGCGTGCATGCAGGGCTGCTCGAAGGAAAGAGCAGTTACAGCAGCACGGGCAACTCGGGAGTAAGGCTGCAAGGTAATGGCCCCTCCCCCAAGAGATAAAAGCCAGCTGAGAAACCGGAGTTCTTTGCAGGAAGCAAAGAAGTTTTTGCACTCAAGCCTTGTGGACGTTCAGAATACCTTGGTTGGTGTTTGGAGACTCCTTGTGTTTGAAATATTTCTTGGCAATTTTATCTAGTGTTCTTGGCAGCCTTGTACAACCTTGGCAAGGCTCATTCTTATCAGAGACAATCAGTTTGAAACAGCCTTTTAACCGGGAAGGAACAGAATTCGTAAAGAATCACTAAAAGATTTTTCTGTTACCTCCATTTCGTGTTTGTTTCCTTGGAACAAGGTTTGGTTCAGAACAGGGATTTATGAGAATAAGAGAGCTGCACAGACTTCCACTTGAAGAAAGAAACCCTCAATTAACAAAACAACAGAATAAAGCAGAGGTCTTCAAACTTGACCTCTTTAAAACTTGTGGACTTCAACTCCCAGAATTCCTCCTCCAGTCATGTTAGCTCAGGAATTCTGGGAGTTGAAGCCCACAAGTCTTAAACTTGCCAAATTTGAACGCCCTTGGAATAAAGAGTTGGAAGGAACTTTGGAAGTCTTCTAATCCAGCGGTCCCCAACCTCCAGTCTGTGAAAAGGCAGCGAGCTGTGGGATGCCAGAAACTGGCTTCTGCAAACAAATGAAGCCCCATTCGCAGGATGCAGGTAGCACATGAAACCATGCTTATTCTGATCCGTAGGAAAACCTCTCTCCACAGAACTGGTTCCTGGTGCCCAAAAGATTGGGGGCCATTGTTCTAGTCCAATCCCCTGCTCATGCAGGAGACATTATACTATTTCAAACAAATGGTTGTCCAGTCTCTTCTTAAAAGTCTTCCGTGTTTCAGCACCCACAACTTCTGAACGCAAGCTGTTCCACTGGTTCATTGTTCCCAGAGTTAGGAAATTTCTCCTTAGTTATAGGCTGCTTCTCTCCTTGATTAGTTTCCACCCGTTGCTTCTTGTCTGCCCTCAGGTGCTTTGGAGAATAGGTTGACCTCCCTCTCTGCTTTGAGGCAGCCCCTCAAATACTGGGACATATCTAAGATTTCGAGGTACCTGGCTCAACAGTAGTAACTGCGAGAGGGATCTTGGAGTCCTTGTGGACAATCACTTAAATATCAACCAGCAGTGTGGTGCAGCTACCAAAAAAAGCTAACACGGTTTTAGTCTGCATAAATAGAGGGAGTGGAATACTGCATCCAGCTTTGGTTGCCACGGCGTAAAAAAGATGTTGAGATTCTAGAAAGAGTGCAGAGAAGAAGAACAAAGATGATTAAGGGACTGGAGGCTAAAACATATAAAGAATGGTTGCTGGAATTGGTTATGTTAAGTTTAATAAAAAAGAAGGACCAGAGGTGACATGATAGAAGTGTTCCAATATCTCAGGGGCTGCCCCAAAGAAAAGGGAGTCAAGCTATTCTCCAAAGCATCTGAAGGCAGGACAAGAAGCAATGGATGGAAACTAATCAAGGAGAGAAGCAACTTAGAAACAAGGAGAAATTTCCTGACGGTTAAAACAATTAATCAGTGGAACAACTTGCCCCCAGGAGTTGAGTGCTCCAAGACTGGAAGTTTTTAAGAAGAGATTGCACAACCATTTGTCTGTAATGGTATAGGGTTTCTTGCCTGAGCAGGGTTGGGACTAGATGTCCTCCAAGATCCCTTCCAACTCTTGTTATTCGGTTATTCTTGGGGTTCTTCATAACTTTGAATGGAGCTTAGTCACCGGTTGTAAGTCAAGGATTACCTGTTTGCTGAATTTTTCAACTGAGTCCCCATATGAAAGAAAAGTGAAGATAGAAATTGTATTTTACTGTGGAAAGAGAGTTTATGATGTCTGTAGTGGGGAGGAAGTGTGGATGAAAGTGAAGGCAATTTTTTGGTGCAGGCTTTCAGAGATCTGTTTATGTAAACAGAGCTAGATTGAAAATTGTGCTTGGTAAGATTAGGTCAGTAAAAAAAATATCAATACACAAATATGAAAAAAACCAGCACAACATCGCCTGGAAGCATTTGCCCAGAAGTGAAATGTTTGATTTAAGTAAAACTCAGTACTTCTAACCCAGATTTCATAGCTCATGTTTGAATTAGAGAGAGATCTGGGAGGAAGGAAGCACACAACTATTGAGAGTTGTGCAGCGATAATTCAGCACCAGAAAAATAAACACAGATGGCTGAGGCTTCATTTAACATCTTTATAAACATAATAAGAATTTACAAACCAGTTGTAGATTTCTCCAACATGGAGCAAACTCAAACAGAAACATGTTGCAAGTTCAGAGCAGAGCTCAAGTCTTCAGCAAACAAGTCAGTTTCTCTTTTGCTTTAGTTCAGCAGGCAAGCAAGAGGAGAGAAGCAGTTTCATCTTCAATAGACAGACTCAGAGCTTCAACATAGCTTCAGAATTGCAGAGCTTAACACAGAGCCACACCTAGGCTACTTTTAGTTTCAGTTTCCAGCCTAGGCTACTTCTAGTTTCAGTTTCCAGAACAGTCCTCATTGGCTGATTTAGTTGCTATGCCTATTCCTTGGCTGACTTTGTTACCAAGCTCTATTCCAGTTCATGAATATACTCTGACAAAAACAACAATGAAAACAAAGCTGTCTTTTATGGAACTCACCGGTTGGCATCTACTTTGTTTTCACTGAATTTTAATGCTTTATTCCTAATGAAGTTATCAACATAATAGATTTTTTTTATAACACTGTCCCATTGAGACGTTAGTTGGTGTGCACTGAAACCAGCTGTATTTGAAAACCCAGAATTTTAAATTTCAGATTACACTGCCTCATTCCCAAGAGCAAAACTTGCTACTCTTTTTGTCATGGCATGATGGATGCTTGAAAAT